TTGACACTTCCAGCTGAAGAAACTGGTATATTACACCACACTGAGGCCTCTATCTGCCAGATCGGTGTAAAGGGACCCTGGTAGAAAGGCGGATCAGGCCCAAAAGCATGAGGAAGCCTGGAATCTGGATCAAGCCCTGAACCCATCTCTAGTTTGGAGACACCCAAGAAGGATAAAGCTTATTAGGAAATCACCGGTGCCGGCTTTTTTCCTGTCTCCAGGCCCCAGTGTTTGCAATGATCCCCTATTTTACTGGTGGAGAGAGGACTCCCAGATTGCTCGGATTTCATCTTGTGCAGCCCCCAAGGCCTGCTGGCAAAGGGGGCCTTGGGAGGCTGGACAATAGCAGCATTTTAAGCTCAGCGCTATTTTAACCACCATGCTGGGAGCATCACATGGCTACGGAAACCACTTCATTGTGCCTGGCCGGAGCTGATAAATAGCCCCACGTGGCAGCAGCTACAGTGTCACCCCTGGGGTATAAAAACAGGCGGGAGGTGGGGGAAGCAACAAGAAAGCAGCGGTGGGTGGTTGGGTGGGTGGAAAAGGGGGTATAAAAATCCCCTTTCTCAACTGCACCACCCAGTTACACTGCATCCCAGGGCTCTCCCCTCTACAATGGGGCTGGTGCAGAATCCAGAGTTCAATCTCTGGATTTCTCTTGACAAAAAGAACTGGTAGCACATTGTAGCCTGGGGGTGGGGGAATTCAAATACACGAACTCACCCCTTGCCATGAATATGGTATTGTCAAATGGTCCTCCCGCCCTGCCTGCCCCCAACTCGGTAACAGCACCCAGGCCCGAAGTTCACAGATCCAAACGGGAACCCCCCCCCAGAATCCAGATCCCGGCTGATGGATCTGGCACCCCCTCCACACACACTTGGTAAGTTTTCTTTTTTTTAAAACCGCTCCGTCTTTGGGGTTGCCCAGCCCAGCCCCTTTGCAGGCACCATCTCCCCAGCCTAAGTGGTTTTGCAGATGCCTGCTTAATAGGAACCAGCTACAGGGGCCCTTCAGATACAGATTACTCCCCCCACCCCACCCCACCCCCCCACGAGGGAAGGGAGAGCTCAGACCAGACAGCGGCTGAGCCACAAAGAGGAGAGACAGACAGAGTCTCTCTCCAGACACCAGTAAAGTTCTCTCCTTGCCCAAGACTTGGGATTCCCCCGCTCCCCTAATGGCCGAGAGACCCCAGCGAGCTGCTAGGCAGACCAGCATGGGGGGGGCATGGGGGGGGGGGTTCTCTCCATCACCCCCACTCCTCCAGAGCTGAAGCCTGGAGTCAGAATGCCATGTGTGTGCCCGCGTGAAGTGGGTCTTTGACCATTTCTCCTCACCCCACCCACACCCCCACCCCGAGCTTCGGGTGGAAAGCTTAAAATAAAGGATTCAACTTTCAGATCGGGCGCAGGAAGACTTAAAAGGGGAACAGCTGCCCCCT